TCTATCTATTGACCGGTTTTGATTTTTATTTTGATCTATTTTGAATTGCGTGACACTGAAAACCAGCAATTCTGAGCGCAGAACAAGAAGCGGACGGATGATAAGAACATCTAACAAGACTGTGCTTCGGGCGTAACTTTTTTAATATCATAAGTTACGTAAGTTCGTGTCAAAAAAAGCAATATTTTTCGTGAAACGTGAAATGCCGATCTTATTTCTCGTAAATCGTGCAAGGAGCAATTTATTTTCCGTGAAACGTGATCTTGACCCCCGCCACCCACCCTTTATCACCCTCTTTACTGCTCCCAAGAGTTACCAAGAAGAGAGAGAGAGACAATACAAATGTGACAAGAGAACGCCTTATGCGAAATGGGAAATGGATAAATAAAGAAATAACCAAGAGCAATTCTGCAACGTTTATCTAGAATGCTATACTTTGAAAACTGTGACTGATTGCTTCAAATGGTCCCTGAAACAGTCGGTGCGGGGGTTGGTCTGAGTAGTGTCTTGTTTGCAGGACCTCATCTGATTTCTCAGTCTCTTTGGACTCATTGAAGAACGCATTCTGACTTCCACGGTCCTGCACAAGGCTGCACTAGTCTGAATCAGGAGCCCATTAAGTGCAGGACCGTGGAAGAAGCACCTGATCTCTCCTAAATATTTATGGTGTCTATTTATGGTGCATTTCTCCTTTGTGCAGGACCTCATCTGATTTCTCAGTCTCTTTGGACTCATTGAAGAACGCATTCTGACTTAATATTAACTTCATTAGCAAGCTTAGGCCCAGTCCGCAGTGCGCTGGAGGAATTTAAAAACACAATTATCACCGGTCAATTTGGATTTTTGTTTGAGGAAAACCCAAACGTGACGCCATCGTTTTCGAAAAGGTCCGTTTTCAAAATCCAGCGTTTTCACATTCCTCCGGTTTGAAGAGCGTTTCCAAAAAGCTCCGTTTTCGTGACGGATTAATCTGGACGGCAAGCCTAACCGTAAAAATAAAGCTGAGTTTTGTTAAAAAAGTCCTGGGTATCAACATTGTCATAAAAATTCCTCCTGGGTAGTGTGGACGGGGCGTGAAGCAAACTACAACGGCAATGAACGCTACCAAACAAAAGGAATAACTAGCAACTGCGTGATAAACTTTTAAGTATCTTTCAGAGCTGTCCTTTGCAAAATAGCAACTTGAAATCACTGAAAGGTGAAATGACCAAGTTCTGCGTAGTTCGGAGAGTGCGAAAGACGAATCGAACTGCTTTCCATTTGGAATTTAACGCTGTCATTACATATTTAGCCTGAGCAAAGTTTTAGAGCCAAAAGTATCCTGCACATATCCAGAAAAATCGTAAGTAAAATATATATAAAAATTCAGCTTTACTCCTTGGCGTCACCGTCGTCATTGCTTAAGCTTCCTTTGACATGTGAGGTCCCTTATCCTGAGATGGACTGCTTTTGTGCTTTGCTCATGTTTCATCCCAAGAACGATCGATCGCAAATGAGAGTATCCTGTAAAATAAAACGTAGACAATAATTGCAGCTCTTCGTTAAAGTTCTTTAAAACTCAGCTATGTCGTCAAACGTTTCGGTTCTGAGGTTTCATGTCTTCTCCTGTTGCAACCACCTCGTTTACGTTACTTCACCGATGCAATACCTTTTCATCTTCTGACACATAACTACACGCCATAAAGTTTACATCTTCTTCTTCCTGATAGCTGAAGGTTTTGAACACTTTAGGCCATCGTCATCAATCACGTAACTGAACATGGTGAGTTGATACTACCTCGGGGCTTTCCCGACTTTCCCTCTCCAAACCAAGTTATTAATCTCTTTTCATAGTTTCCAGTTCTCGAGGACCTCGCTACTTAATTGAACTCAAATCTAAACGTCGCGGAGGCAATGATATCTGATGGAATAACATTGTAGATTGTGATGCTTTCGGCGGCGAGGCGCCGGAAATTTTTTTGCTAGTAGACGTTCGTAGACGGTATACGTTGTCGACGAATTTGAACCACTCTTTCGCTGGAACATGAAATATTAGATGGCAGAGAGAACCTTGAACGAACCTCATCAATCAGGGCTTAATGCAGCTATTGTAACTCAAGATACAGAAGGTGACCGCGTATATTAAATTACTGTATAGCATAAATTACATAGCCGTTACAGAACATAAGCGTGCATATAAAGAATGTTTGGCAAATTAACATATTATAACCTTACAATGTGTGCCCGCCATTTTGAATAATGAAATCCCGCCGGTGTTTAGAAACTCGTTTGTCCGGTTTGATCATGACGTCAGTGCTTTCTCATTGGCTCACAGCCAAGTCTTTTGTTCTTTTGCTTTATAAGTGGGACACCACCCGGATGGTTGGGCGGCTAGTTAATTCCACCGCAATGGATATATCTCTCCCCGTCTCTGTTTATCTGTAATAAAACAATACCTCCTCGATATAAATTCAAGTATTTTACCTCAACCGCCCCCCTTAAAAAATATCAAATATATAATTAACTATTATGTCTACATCTCATTAATCCCTCACATATACCCACACAGCCCACATGTCATTACTTCCCCACATATACCTACACAGCCCACATCTCATTACTCCCCCACATATACCTACACAGACCACATCTCATTAATCACCAAAATATACCTACACAACCTACATCTCATTGATCCCCCACATATACCTACACAGCATACATCTCATTAATCCCGTATATATACCTACACAACCTACATCTCATTAATCCCCCACATATACCTACACACCCTACATCTCGTTAATCCCCCACATATACCTGCACGGCCTACATCTCATGAATCCCTCATTGAAGCTAAAAGAGATTTACCTATGCGGAAAAGAAAATTACTCTGGCCTTCCTAGCTTGGTTTACATGTTTTTCATTTAGCGTACTATATTTGCCTGTAATTTCTAATTTATAATCCCCCACGTATACCTACACAACCTACATCTCGTTAATCCCAGACATATACCTAAACAGCCTACATCTCAAATGTTGATTTCCCACATATACCTACACAGCCTACATCTCATTAATCCCCCACATATACCTACACACCCTACATCTCATTAATACCTCACATATACCTTCACAGCCTAGATCTCATTAATCCCACACTTAAACCTACACAGCCTACATCTCATTAATCCCCCACATATACCCACACAGCCTACATCTCATGAATCCCTACTTTAAGCTAAAAGAGATTTATAGATACGAAAATAAAATTACTCTGGCCTGCCTAGCTTGGTTCACATGTTCTTCATATACAGTACTATATTTGCTTGTAATTTCTAATTAGGCAGGAATAAAACTATAAAAATAATTCAGTGAGTCTTTAAAAACGAGAAGAACGGTCAATAAGCTGGATTTATGGTTTAGTCGCATTCATATCGGAAACGTGTTGATTAAGAGATCAAGGTTCTAGATATAAAGGCTGCTGAATTTGTGTTATTAGATATATAGGCAGGGTTTTTTTAGCCCATTCCCGATATACAATTGGCAAAAGCGTCAAAACACATTCTCAGAATCAGAGGCTTCTGTGGGAATTGAAAATACAGTTGTCCATTGAGATAAAAGTTCAAATACTTCAGAGTGCTATTAACGCTCCGCAGGATAATTTTAGCCCGCACTATAAAATCTTTTCAAGGGAAAATTGAATCTGCTCGATTAAAAATGCTATAATAAATAAAAAAATAAATCTGCTGGAACTTATTAGGGCTTTTTTTTGTCCATCTCTCGAAGCCTTTTCGAAAATCATAGCTAGCCTTTTTTCGGGACCCAAAATGATCTTTTTATCAATACAAAAGAAGCAGGAATTAAATTTGTTGTGACAATTCTCGTAGAAAGTCAAAAGACATTAAAAGCCTTCCTAACAGGTAATTTTACCGAAACAAACATTGGGTGCCCTTGATAAATCGAACTACTCAATTAAATCCTAAAATGGATTTTGCGTTTCTTGACTAAAAAACGGAATCCAAGATCGCTCGGATTATTGTGCATCAAAGGAACCAATGAATCCTTACCCAGAGTAGATCTTTTCTTCCCCAACTGCTTGATTCCTGCTAGAATAATTTGTTATAGCGAAATACCCTAGGCATCAAGCTCATTTTCAATACCGGTTAAATTCATTCCTCTACTACCTTTTATTATACATTTCCCCGGTCTTTTCTGCCGCTTTTTATGGGCAGAAGTTTCATAAGAGGAAAGAACTTTCATTTCAGATGGTCATAAGTAATAAAGGTTCCAAAGGCGAGTTGAAAAAGGGCTACTGAAATATATGATGCAATAAATCTTTTCATTTATCACCTGCTTTGCCATTCCTCTTTATTTGGTGGGAAACTCTGAATGCGAAAGAAAAATAAAAACAAAGCTGGGATTCTGTTTACTTTTGTTTGAGTTAAGAATTTCTACCGTCATTTCAAATGTAAAATCGAATATTCTAATAGGTTGGACGAAAATCTTTCAGATTTATGTTGACATAGAAAACCAATTATTATGTGCATATGGTTTTTAACTGAACTAAAAATTACCAGAGATGACATTGGCGCGTATTCTTATTACAGTAACTTGAAGAGAAGTGAGCGAAAGATGATCCGGCCATTGAAACTTTGAAACACACGAGCAATATTCGCATAGCAGACGCTGGAAGCGTGTCAGTACCACTGTCGTATTTCTAATGGCAGATTGGAATCACTCTTGTTCGAGACAAGATTTCCAAGAATATCAGTTTATTAGAGAATCATCTTCACACTGGTACATCTTCTTATGCACCGCAAATGTTGTTCTCTCCATTTTCGCTGTTACTGGAAATGCAGTCATTTTATTCGCTCTTTATCAATGCCGCTCGATTCATTCGCCGACAAAAGCACTTTTCTACAGCTTGGCATTTTCCGATTTTGGAGTGGGAATGGTTGCACAACCGTTACAAGTTGCCACCGGTACAGCAACTCTCTATGGAGATCTCAATCTCTTCTGTTCGGTTCAACCTTTTTACGCTGCAGTAGCATATTACTTTTGTTCAGTGTCCTTTATAACTATGACAGCGATAAGTATTGAGCGATACCTCGCTTTACGTCTTGGAATGAAATATCGCCTGGTGGTGACGGTTACAAAAGTTGGGTTGACTCTTTTCTTGATGTGGATGGGTAGCGTTGTATGGGCAATTTCCCGCATGTGGAATATTCGAATCAACAAGATCAGTGGATTAATTATCGGCCTTTTAAGCGTCGTCGTCACTTCCTCCTGCTACTTTAGGATATACTGTACACTCAGAGGTTTTAAAACTAGAATCGCCAGCCATCAAGTGCTTAGAAGGCAACCCAGAAATGTTTTAAACATGGCGCTGTACCGAAGGTCCGTTAATAGCATGTTGGGCGTGTTTGGCTTACTTATAGCCTGTTACATTCCCTACTTCTGCGCGTTAATAGCCGTTGCTTTTCAAGGATACACTGCGACAGTGGTATTAGCGACTAATTTAACTTCACTGGTGATTTTTCTCAACTCGTCATTGAACCCTTTTGTTTATTGCTGGCGTATTAGAGAAATTCGCATGAGGGTGATTGCAATTATAAGAAAATTATCGCCGATATGTACGAATACCGCTCTTCAATAGGTCACAGCTCCATTTTATTTACCAGCTCAGTTTAATTAGTTCTCTTCCGAGAAGAAACATCGTACTGATAAAAGTGCTACTGGTCTATACGTGTTCCCATGAACCATTGTTAACTGAAATAGTTATTTTATCAAGAAACGCGCGGAAACCCAGAGTGATATTTTAATCCTAAAGCAAGTTGCATTGAGTCAGACCTGCCAATATAACAATCTTCAAAAAAAACTTGGAAAAAAAAGCAAATTACTGTAAATGTCCTGATTATAACCTTCCCTTTGCTGTTGGAAACACCTTTACAAGACTTCTATGATCTAACCTTCCCTTTTTACTTTGTTTTGCTTTATTTTCTTTTATTTTTATTATTAATGCAGAACCAGTAGAATGTTACGTTTAGGCGAGGCACCGGTATTCGACCTTTTATGAAGGCGAAAAGGTGCCAGACGGAGAAGGAAAAAAACATTTTTTTAATTAGAGTAAGAAAAACTATTTTTCCCTGATTATGTTGTTTCAAGCGAGTGACATTAAACTTTAATACAAAAAAAATGACATTTTAATTAAAACTGAGGGACAGAAAATGACGCACGTCAGATGGACAAAGATTCTTGTTGAACTACATTAAACATGTCAACATGGCTGTCAGCTGGTTGTGTGTGTCTTAGAACGACAGCCAGCCGCATAGACCAAAATTTAAAAATGGCCGGTCGTCATAAAAGTTTTGTCACCGAGAAGAAGTGTTTGTCAACAAAAAGATCATACCAAAGGACTGACCGCAATAATTTTAAAGCTATATATGCGTGTTCCTACCTGATTAAAGTTAATCATAGAGGGGCACATAGTATATGTTAAAAACCTGAAACCAGGCTAGGTAGGCTAGAGTATTTTTGTTATACAAATCTTTTAAATGAAATGAGACAAAACTTTACCATCTTTAAAAACACATCAGAGTTTCCAAGAATATTAATAGTATATTATTTCATTTCTTTTTGATGTTGCACTACATCTAAGAGGCAGAGGAAACTTGTTTATGACATCACGCACAAATAGTCAATTTATACTTGTTCCAAGAAATCTTAAGACCGCTTGGTTCTGCATGAGTTGATAGCCACTGAATATGATGCGCAATGACTCCAGAACCGATTGTAATGAAAGGCAAGCTGTGTAGGTATTTATAATAAAGTTTCCATATAACGCGCGCTCTGATTGGCTGAAACAGCGTGCTTTATCAGAGAACAGAGCACGGGTTGATGACGGTAAGTTGGCTTCCAAATTTTTGCTTCGGAATTTTGACAAATTTGACCCAAATTAAACACCCCCTGTGACTCAGACAAACGCACTGGAAGCGAGCTATTTTTCTGCAGTAAATATGGCTCACAGAGACCATTGTTAGCAACAGTAGTGTTAAAACTGT